TAATAAAAGCAGAAAAGGCCACAAGCAAGATAATTCACAATTGAAAAAAAAAGAATAAGTAATTAGGGAGGTTACACGAGATACAGCTGTATGCGAAGTGATGATAGATGAAAGAGGCAAATCAGGGAAGAATAAATTTCCATCATCAATGCAGGTGAGGGGCAGAACTGGAGTTGTTAACCAAATAATATGTCATTCATTCTTTTATTAATTTGAATAGCAATTGTTTAGTAAATAACTTCTGTTCTGAAAGACTTAGATTTCTGCAAAAACAAAGAAGACTGTCACCAGTGTTGATTCCACACTGATCTGCCTGCTCCAGCATTGCTTCAGCTTGATTTTGTGTCTTGAATCGACAAAGTGATTCATAGGGATATAGAAATACATACTCATAAGAAGCAGCTATTTTTCTTTCTTTCTTGGACATGAAAAATTATGGAATGTGTTAAGGAGTAAAAAAAGTGTATTAGCTAAATAAAGCTACCAGTGTTAATAACTGATTTAACAGATATATTTTTATGTGACATTTTACGTACTATTTGCCAAATCTTGAAGGTAGTTGCATCAATGTTATAGCAGATTTCAATGAAAGAAAATTTTAGTTTTGACACAGACTGACATATACTGCATGGTACTCTGTGAATGTAATATACAGCTCTATTAAGGGTGACCCTTACGTTTTCAAGAAAAGTCGGTCCATGGCCTGCATTTTACTATCCAAAAACTTAAAAAAATTTGCTGTTGGAAATTCTGCCAAGGGTTACCAGATAGCTCTCGGCAGTAAATGGGATTGAGGTATTCATTGGTGTTCGGTAGGCTTCATGCGGTCTAGGGGAAAAGTCATTTTTAATTTTCAACTATATCCAGCCTTTCTTCACTGCTTATAAAACGTCAGCTTCTTGTACCAGTCACCAGCCAAAGACTTCGACTCTTTAATGAATTGCAAAATCGGAGATTTCATCCTATCACTGTCATTGAACAAGCGACAGTTTACGACTAGCGAAGATCAACTCCGTTGCCTTGTAATTTTGAACACAATCCCGAAGACAAGTGAAATCCTAAATCAAGTATTGAGATTTACTTTTGTGAAGCACTTTTTAATAGAAATAAATCATATTTACGTTACATGGAGAGGAAACCCTCCTATGATTAGCTTGATGGCAAGGGGACTCTGACTCATGATCCATCTACAACTGAGAATATTTTATATCAGTATTATGGTTGGTATGGGTTGAAGGTATAATTCGTATCAACCAGCCATTGCTAGGATTAGAACAAGGGCAATTCATTAGAAAGCTAGCGATCTACCTTGCTGGGCCACCATGACTCATTATTAAATATTAACAGATTCAGGATTGCACCTTCTTTTAAATATTTAAATAAAGGAGTTCCCTATTTTAAAGTAGAATCTATCACTCGGAGTAAGACCATTATTTTGTTGCAGACAATGACCTAACCGGAGGTATACCACAAGATTTGCGAAATATGACCCATTCAGACAGAAAAATCCCAGGATCACAATACCTTTTATTTTAAAATTTAATAGAAAAAGGCATGGAATACATGGAGAGTACTGAAAATGGGGGAACATGTAAAATATAAAATAACTGCTAATGTTTCAGCGCAAGTTAGTTATATTTTATCTGATTTTTGGCAATACATTTTTACACATTTAAAAAGGTTTACCTAATTTAAAATAAAATGTACGTATTTGTTTACTTTCATTCTCATAACTCACTTTGAATTAGTTTTAAAAAATGGTTGCTAATTAAGTTGCCTTATTTAGTACTTTAGCTAAATAATATTGGTGGTCATTTTATCCTTTGCAATAGCAATTAAATAAATTTATAATTAGAATTCTCAAATAGAATTCTCTAATCATTTTATAAGGAATTGATTATAGGACGAGAAATTATTATGGGAATTAGTCTCATTAGCTAATGAATGATTTTAAGCGTGACACTTCAATTTAGTGGATAAAAGCAAAGCTGATGAAGATTCTTCATTAATATCAAGGACTTATTAAATTCATCAATATCAAAACAAACGCTATCAATATTTAATTTTTTTTTTATCTAATGATAGATTATAAATGAAAATTGAGATAAAATTTATGCTTATCATCATCAACATATAAAGTTTCATTTCAATGATAAGAAGAGACGCCAAGTTATTTTTTGCTTAATATATTTTACTTCTCGATTTTTTTGAAAAGTAATAGTTTTTATCGTTTAAAATATCAAAAAGGCTAAAATTATATCTTTTTTATTAATATTTTCTTACTTTTGCAAGCATGAAAAGTTTAAAATTTATCAACTGTTTCGGCTTGCTGCTCGTAAATTCCTCCTCATTTCAAGTCCTGCTGTTGTTGTTGTAGGCCATTGAGGCAAAGGGGGCGCACTTTTCTTTCAGTGGCGCCCTCTGTGGCCAAGAATTTGACTTCTGCCTGCCACAAACTTAAGTCACAATCCTTTTATAGGGTGGACCCCTTTTATACATCCATTTCTTCGTCCATAAATCGTAATTTTGACCTGAACCAGAGAACGATCAATCTCCAATTCTGTACCCCCTGAAGTATGGAAACAGGGTTGACTTTGTGACCCAACCAACAGATTTAACGGGCACAAATCACCATTTACTACACGGGAAGTCTTCTGCCCTCTCATGTCCTCTTGGACATGGGCCCAAAGCCCGATTATTCGGGCTGTCCCTGCTCATTTCAAGTCTTGATAATGGAAATTAGGTTGCGTAAAAAGACGTAAAATTTACTTTTCCGCTATGCATATTATAAATGTAATTTTTTTTTCCTTCCGTTTCAGTGAGGAAAATGTGACTGCAATCCCTACCATTCACGCGATTAATGTATGATTTGCGTATCCCTCTCTTTTGCATTATTATTTCCCACTCTTCAGAAAGTATATGGATTTAAATTAGTCGAAGCTCAGTCGAGGGGGGGGGATCAAATTTAATTTTATAACCTCAATGCCTGGATGCTTATCATGTTTTGAAAAGTAATAGTTGTTAATGTTTAAAATGTTAAAAGACTGAAGAATATATTTTTTATTAATATTTTCTTACTTTTCCAAGCATTAAATGTATAAAATATGTCAACACTTTTTTCTTGCTGTTCGTAAAGTCCTTTTCATTTCAAGTCATAATAATGGTAATGAGGTTACATGAAATGGCCTAACATTTACATTTCCGCTCTATACATTATAAATGCTTTTCTTCCATTTTCGTGATAAAAATATGACTATATTTCCTGTCATTCACGCGATTTATGTAAGATTTGCCAATGTCTGTCCTTTACTTTCTTCTTTTCCCCTCTTTAGAAAATATGTAGATTGAAGTAAGTAGAAGATCAGTCTAAAGCAAAATTAATTTTATTTCCCCAATGCATGTGCATTTACCATTTTTTTTGAATAAATGAAAAAATTTCACTCTTAACGGAGTGAAGTCGTATATACAACAGCAAAATTTATTTTATCATTTTAAAAATCACTTTCCCCCGTCATATTTGCAATTATTTGGAACATAATTGTGTACATACAATCATATAATTGTTATTAACATTATAAGGTGGATAGTGAAGGGGAAATGGAAACTAGATGGGATGTCACCTTAAAATACTTCCAAATGGTTAAAGGTTAACTTTTCCTTTCTATAATATATTTTGCCTTTTATTCGATATAATTTGAAGTTAGTATTAATAAAATATTGTTAATTCTGGTATATAGGCAAAAATTGATTTCACGAATGTTTGGTAATTAGAGCATTTGTTGAGTTTTTCATCAAGGATTCATAATTAAAATTTGTAAAATTTTTTTCTTGTCGAAAATCAAAAAAACAAATGTGTTAATTAAAGCCAATAAATAGCGAGTGATAGGTTTTTTCATACAATTTATTTCATGAAAGTCTTAAGTATCATCAAAATTGATAAAGACATTAACCATTGTTGACAATACGATTGTTACGATTTAGTATCAGAATGGGATCGATTCTAGTCTCACAATGTAAATGTTTGTTACTTGGATCATTTGTGCATATTTCAAGAACCCTTTACAACCTATGACTCGAAGTATTTTTTAATGCTCATCCAAGAAATATCAGGAGAACAGATTTGGACTAAAGGAAGACCGATATGAACTGGAATTAACTCCGATCTCTAACTGAAGACTACCCTTCGGAGTTATTACAGAAGTTCTTTTATTGCTTTGTCTGCGTATGACCTAGCGCTGTTGCATGACATGATTAATCTGGACTTGAAATTTTTCTGGGACATATGATCTAATTGCTTTGGAGAGCTTATTTGACGTTACCAAATGCCACTAGTGCTTCAAGACATGTCCATAACGCTAGAATTCAGAACGATTTTTCTTTGACTTGCGATATCGGAAACGAAATGAGTGGACTGGAAGCTGGATGGTTCTTCCTGCAAGACCTCATTTCTTCTATGACAAGTATTACCCTATAATGGTGGGAAAGTAGATGTGTTTTTTCGTCACCAACTACTACATCTTATGTCCCTCACCATTTTTCTAAATAAACTAGATTTCGTTTAATGGACTTGGTCTCATTTCTTATAATCTATATTTAACATGCGTTCAATTTTAGCTTAAACAAGCAAAAACAGACTGCTTGTAATATTCTACCTGTTTGTATAAATAGTATGTTTTTGTTATATTTATAATGCATCTATAATTCAGATATAAAATTTTTATAAAACATATTTTGTGCTTTTTGTAACGATATTCATAATATACAATAAAAAACTACAACTTAATTTCTCCAAAGCATAAAAATTTTAATTTATACTCTGTGTAGGTACACTCACAATCTTTAGTTGTTTAAGATGTTGTGAAATCCAAATTATCTGATACTAATTTGAAGATAATAATTTCAAAATATTTTTTCCTTGCCCTAAAATCATCAATTTTATCATTTTATATAAAAATGTATTTATTAACTGGGAGATGACCTTCATTTTTGTATTATTTCAGCACCACCTCAATCAGTTGTGATAATGGATGATCGAGGTCAAAGGTTGAAAGATGTAGCAGGACCATACGATGAAGGCGCTTATTTGTCATTACTTTGTGAAGCAGAAGGAGGTAAGAGCTTATCTCGATCCTTCAGAATACTTCATCAAAAGGTTTAATGGAGCAATCGATAGTTCCATGTTGGGAATAATTGAAATCCTTGCATAATTCCTCAATGATGAAAATGATTAGTTCTTTATCCCTAATCAAATTTCTCCCAGAATCAGTTAAGGTATTCAATACAGAAACAAATAAGCTTCAATTATAAATTAACAACAGCTTCGAAATTGATAGATCTTGGATAATTGCACTCAAGTGTAGATAATAATAATAATAAAAATACAAGTTATGAAAGTAAACTTTTCGTTTGTATTTTAAGACTTTGAACTAATTTGATAAAAATGATATTAGTACATTTCAATATATATATATATATTTGAATTGTATATNATGAGTAAAAATTTGGTAATTTTAGCATGAGATCTGAAAAAAAACCGTTTATTTGGTTGAATCCGCTTTTCAGTTTTGCATTTTTTACTATATATATATTACAACTTACAATCCCCATAAGTCAAAAGTCCGGAATAGCAGTAGTGCTTCAAGTATCCATCAGTGACTGTTAAGTTTATATTACAAAAAGTAGCATCCCAAATAATATGATGTTGATTCATAACAGCATAAAATTGAGCAAACTATTTCACCAGAAATTTATATACTTTTAGTGTCGAAGAATGCTGATGAAAACGTTGCTTTCGAAAGTTGTGATGAAATTGTTGCGTACTATTAAAATTTATCGTTTATCACTTGCAGTGTGTCTTTACTTTTGGCTTTCTGTGCGAGGCTCTTGTTCGTTACGTGTGTTTCATATTTCATATGCGTATTACCTGTTCTATTTACTTTCGCATAACAATGTATGCCTTGGCAAGTTTTTGGGCTCAAAAATTATAAATGTTAGCTTTTGCTGATTTTTCTTTGAAATGTAATTTCCGTAGCACTTGATTACTTCATGTCGAAAAATAATCTCTTTTCTTTTTGTTGACTTCCATATAAAATGACTTAAATCCTGTAAACGAAGAATTATCATTATTTGAGTTTATTTTTGACACTACTACCAAGTCAGAATTTTTTTGTAAGTAAACAAATAAAAATAAATACCAAAAAATAATTAGCAGGCTTAAACTTCAAATTAACTATAAAATTAGATAAGTGGGTACAAATGTTAAATAAAGAAGCTTAAAAATGTAGCTTTATCGTTAAAATGGAAGTCCACTTGAAGCTATTACTTTTAATGATTTCTTTAAAATCATATAGAAAAATTATTGAACATATTTCGCTGAAATAATAAAACAAGAAATTAGAAAGTTCTTTTTTTAGAAATATCACGATGCCAGTTTTTTTTAATTAATTCTACTTTAACTTAATTTAGCATCCTTATGCGGAGAGAAAGTTAAATAATAAAATATATAGCTACATATAATACCATCCAAAAATCTTCTTATCTGAAATAAACCCATAAAATCTTTCTAAAACAATTTTTCGTATATTTGAATTATGCATGAAGTGTAATAATCTCTTCGTTTCTTACATATCCTGATTTTGATGGAATAATAATTGCTCATACGGAAAACGTGCTACATATATTACATATAATCATGTTTAGCAATTAAACTGACATTTGGATGCATGGTAAATTGTCATAGTTAAAGTTCTATCAAATGGTCTATGTTTATAGTACATTGGAGTTGTTGGTTAATGGTTTTAGAGCAGGAATTCCTTCAATATCCACTTCGAACATATTTCCATTTCAAAATATGGCATTTAATAATGGCAAATAATGAGTATACAATGATAATATGGCATTTGAACAGCTAAGTATTAGAGATATACATAAATGGAATAATGGCAATGTCATTAAGAAATGAAATTGTTGTAAAACTTAAAAATTTTAACGCTTTTATTATATTGTTTAAATAATTCAAATACATTCATAATATAGTTTTTAAAAAACGGCTTCCAAATACTAATTTTAATACTTTAATACTATTTTACTTTTAATGTTAATGAACTCGCTTTAGAAGCCATTAATTTACTTACACATTGTTTTAGATAAAGAAAATTTTCCCATGCACTTTTCTCATTTATTTAGAGATTTTCATTGATCATGAAGCTATGGATTAAAACTTCTAGAAGTTAATTATGCCGTTTTTATCATTATAAATTTGTTTTTGGAGGATTATTTCTAAATTTGAAAACACCCAAAATGTCTTTTGAATACAAAAATCAGCAATGAATCATTTAAAGATCCGGAATAATATAACCTTGAATATTAATTAAATACCTTGAATACATAACCCTCTTTTGAAAAATATTTACGTACGAAAAAAACATTTCATGTGTAGTTTAAAATTTAGATAATTTTCTAGTAATTATTTGAGATTCTGCACTAAGAAAAACTGTATTTTCAAAACTAAAAGATAGTGATACAATTTACAGTCTCTTTAGGAACAGCAAAAAGCAGATAATTTTTACCGGAAGGCTTTGGTAAAGATTTCGGAAGAAATTAACTATAAAATTTTGCAATATGTGATCAAATTTGGAAAATGTGATAAAATTTGGCTATTTTATAATGATACCTTAGCTCATAGCATAAAAACCATTTATTCTGAAAAATATACAGAGCACGAAAAAACGGAACCTCTGATTAACTTTTGATATAATGATCGGTTCTTCACGTTCTAGAACTCAATATTAATGGATCAAAATGGTGACCTCAAATAAGCTAATTATTAACTGCAAACGACATTTTAAGTTATGAAATCTAACACAAAAACGTACTTATGCTGAACAAACAAATTTTTTCTCCCTGGATTCGGATTTCTGATCGCCAAAATATAGGGAGTAGCTGTAATCTGGAAAATGTGGTTCCAATAGTTTGGTCAGGAGAACACTTCAAAGTCTGAAAAAATTTTTGCGCACATTTATAAAACTAGTTTATCAAAATATAATTCTATGTGATAAGTAACTTTCAGTAAATATTTATCATCTTATTTAAGAATGGTCGACACAATTTTGATTTGTTAGGTGTAAGCAATTTTCCATCATTTTAAAGAACATAATTTTACATAGCAAAATGCAAAATTTGAGCAAAATCAGTTTAATAGCTCCTGAGAAATTGAATTTCAAAAAAGTCTGATTATTAAAATTCGATTTCTCAGGATCTATTCAACCGATTTCACTCAAATTTATTATTTTGCCTTGCAAAATTATGTACTTTAAAATGATGTAAAAAATTTTATACCTTGCAATTCAAAATTTTTTCGACTTTTACTTAATAAATTAATAAAAAAATAACTAATATTTACTAAAATTTATTTTTCGCATGGAGTTAGTTATCTTTGGATAAGCGAATTTTATAACTGTGAGCAATTATTTTTTAATTCGCTGACAAAAAGTTCCTGAGATATGGTAAAATACGCAAAAAGTAAAGGGTCCGAACTTCTGATCGATTTCTCTTGACCAAACTATAAGGACCAAATTTTCTTGATTGGGGATCAGAAATCCAAATCTGGTGAAAAAAAAGGTATATTTATTCAGAGAGGGGGAGAGTACGTTTTTGAATTTGATTCCATAACTTAAAATATCGTATGTACTTATTATTTAGCATATTTGAAGTCAACATCTTGAGATATTAAGATTGAGTTCTAGAACGTTAAGATCAGATAATTAGATCGAAAGTTATTCAGGTGTCAGTCAGGTGTCACTCTAATTTTCAGTTTTGCATTTTTTACTCAATGTGTAGAATTTCAAAACCTAGAAATTATAAGAACTAGAATTTTCTTCAAGAACTAGAATTTTAAAAACCAGAATTTTCAATGACCCTTCACAAGTGAAACTGAAAAATTACCAAATGAATGAGTATATTTTCGTTTGCTTTTTAATGAAAGAATTATATTTTTTTTTCTTTCTTTTTTCACCAGAAATGTCATAACGATACAGTACTGTAATTTTAACAGAATCCTTTTCCTCTGTGTGCATAAATATTACTCTGAAAATTAGAGATAAAAAACTGATATTAAGCTACTATATGAAAGCTTTTAGTATTTAATAACAGCCAATTTGCCATTTAAAATTAAATATTCGTTTGAAAGTATTATACTCTGAACTTCAAAAAGGCACATACTTCTATTAAAGGTCAATATTAATATTTACTCATATAAAGACATAATAAAATGGGTCAACAAGATGTATACGAAATTTTCCAGATTGAAGTAAGAGGAGCTGAAATTCTTTTAACAAAAAATATGCAAGCTTGCATATTTTGTTATGCATATGCTATCTTTGTCTGCTTACTCTTTGGCAATGAACGTCTACAAACTGTTAAAACTTCCATTCAAGATAGTTTAAATAGGGCACTGGGCCCATGTCTAAGAGGACGTGGGTTCGATACCCGCAGCTGAAGACTCCCTATGTAGTAAATGGTGATTGCACGTTAAATCTGTCTGGTCACAAAGTCCTCCATGTTCCCATAACAAATCATACCTCCGTGGGTACTGATCAAGGAGTTGCCTTGTATTCCAGATTGGTTCAAAATTCCAAGCCTACGAAGTTGAACATTAGTAGTCGTAAATCCAAAATTGGATCGCCTATCCAACGACAGAATAATAGATAGTATGCAAACAAAGGAGAAAAAAAAATGATTCGTTTAAAAACTTTGAACGATATCTTTTAGAAATTATACTAGTTTTGTTATCATCTCAATTAAAACAATTCTTTTCAAAAGAAATGTATTTCAAATAACACAAATATACGAATGTCTACTGAATCACAAAGACGATATTCAATCATGTGAAGACACATCTTGTTTTCGTGCTTGCTAGCAACTATGCTTGCCAGAATGAATTAAAGAGACCAGGAATTCATTTAACAAAAAAGATGCATGTGTCCTCAGTAAGAAGTCTATATTTGTCTGTCTTTTCTATTTTTCTCTTTAGGCAATCCATCACCCTCAGTAACATGGTGGCGTGACAAATCATTGTTAGATGACACGTTCTCTCGAACTTCTCAAAGCTTTGTTAGAAATGAGTACGTCTTCTTGGAGCTACGAAGATCAGATCTCATGGCTCAGCTGACGTGCGAAGCATCCAACACAAATCTCACGCAACCGCTGAGGGAGCAAATTAGAATAGATCTAAATCGTATGTTGTTTTACTTTCTCTTATTAATATTTTATATTTTTTGCTTGAAGTTCATTTAAATGATAATATTTTTTTAGATTTAATTTTAAATGTTCGGCTTTAAACTAAATAAACTCATTTATATATATATAAAAAAAATAACATCGTTGAGTTTTCTAAATAATGCATGTTTTACTTTTTATATTTCTTTGTACTCCTTGAATAACATTCGTAAAATGCAGTATTTTTGGTCAAAACTGACATTTAATTTCTGGATTGTTATTTTTAACAACTTAGTAAATTCAACATTTATTAATTTAAAAATTATTTAAAATAGCCCTGGTTGAAACGTTGGTCTCGTGTTAGTGAGAACGGACCGCCGGCCGAAGATGTTGACTGGCAAATCTGTCGGGGTCACGAAGTGTTCTATGCTTCCATAACAAATCAATACCTCTACTGTTTAGGGAATTGATCGCTCTCTGGTTCAGGTCAAAATTATGACCTGTGAATAAACAAATAAACGGATGTATGAGTAAGTTCGCTCTGTAAAATGAGCTATGACATGTGTGTGGCTGAAACCGTATTTTTGGCCATAGATGGCGCCACTGAAAAACAAGACATCCACTATCTGCCTTAAATTTGATTGATTTTTTCATGCAGGCTTGCTGGTATGGTAAGGTGGCAATAGAAAAAGCAAATTTAAAATATATATCAAACGAACGTGTGGGTTTGCTTTTTTATATACCATTATTCATATGTATTTATGTTAATTTTTAATAAAAACATCTGAAACATGTATATAATTTATTTGCCTATATAATTCGAAATCATTTAATGTTATACAATTATAGTTTAATATTTTGTTCATCCTAAATATTTTTACTAATTTTACAGTAAGGATTACCTATTTGAACTTTATTCACCTTCATCTTCGTAAATGTAAATACACAAAAATACACTCTAAATCTGCTAAGCGAGAAAATGAGGCTCGCAATGTTTTAGTATAAAAATTGTTATAATAATAATAAATTGATTTTTACAGAACAGAATTACGTAAACTAAAATATTTGCAATAAATATGAACTTGAAAATAACTGAACAATGCAAAAATGAATGAATCAACTATGTGAACACTGACATAAGTATATTAGGGATTGGAAGATCTTTTGTGGCTAAACTGTTCAGCATCCAGTAAACTGTCCGATTTCAACAATATTGTTCATCTGCATGCAATGTATCATGCTTAAAAATTTATGGATGTACTACTTTTTAAAAAAAGTTTTTTTTCAAAGTCAAAATACTCGATTTTACCTTACTACTTGGGTAAAACCGAGTATGAATGTTTATTCAATTTGAAATTCAGAAACACTAGAATTTCAATGGAAAAGTAGCATACATCTATTTTATATGAATAAAATTTACGCCAACTATTTTATATGAATAATAATTAATTATGCATGCAATTTACATGTGATGTTGTCAAGGCATTACACAAGTAGAGGGGGGGGGAGCGAACAATTGCCCTGGAGGCCTTGACTTAATTTCTTCACAAAAAGTACAGTATTTATAAATTTTTTTTTCGAAAGAAAATGGAATAAAAGTTTTTTGAATTAATTTAAAAACAACAATTCATTATAAACGGAACAGGAGTATCAGTAATAATATACTGGTTTCCCATTTACGTCTACGGGAACTACGGTTTCGACCACTTCTCTACATTATAAAGTTTTGAAATGTGCAGTAAAATTTCTAGACCAAATATATCCCTGATTTCTAATTAACCATTTCCACAATACAGTTCAAATAATATGGAAAATATAGTTGTAAAGGCAATGCAACTGGAATATTTTTGAATGTATAAAAATAACATAGTTTATCATATAGATCAAGGGCTTCCAACTTACGTGAGGCCGAGGGCCACAATAAAAAACGCAAATCAAATGGCGGGCCTCAACTTTATCAAACTTTTATGTAGGACTCTTTTATGTTTGAAGGAACATTAAATATTACTGTCAGATTTTTACCAAGTTGTACAAAAATAAAGTATTGAATTACAAATTAAAATAAGAAGTTAGATTTTTAAAAATATTTAATTGTTATTAATAATATTTTTAAAAATATTAAATAAATCATAAAAATTCGGGCTGCAATAACTTTAATGTGCACCTATGTATTAAACAATTAATGTGCAACAGATATCTAATTGCTAAGATGTAAAACTTTAAAATGGTTGGTATTAAAACTTAAATAGTAGCACATAAAATGTTTAATGAGAAAATTGAGGTTTGTCTGCTGTAACTACCAGAGAATAGATATTTACATATTAAATGTAAAATTTACAAATGTATGTGTTAATATTTTCGTCCAAAATGAGTGGTTTCAAAAAGATAAATCGGAGAATTTCTTAGAGAAAATTTCTGATACGCACATGCTAAATTATATTCACAAAGTACAAAACAATGAAATAAAAAAGAGCAACATCCACAATAATTTTTGTATTTGAATAGATGTTTTCTTGGATGCAAAACCTCAGAAATAAATTTTTTTGCACCGTTGGTATGTTAAATTTCACAGAGAAGAAGAAATTAGGTTTTTATTAACGAGAAAAGTTTTTTAAGCCCATATAGGTTTTTTAAGAAAATTGTCCTCAAAAAAAAATGGCAACTAATATATTTTAGTTCGCGAGCCACAAAAAAAGGCTTCGCTGGCCGGATGCGGCAACCGGGCCGCCAGTTGGAAACCCCTGATATAGAATATAGTATAATTTCATAGAATCAAATTACATTTTTCGTTTATAATCTTTAATGCAATACTTTATTTATATTATTTTATGCATAATTTATTTTGTAGAAAAATGTGCTTAGTATAAATGTTGTATATTCCATCATACTTCTGGTTTCCAATATGCATTCTAAAACCTACAGTTTTTCCACAGTTAAACCTATTTATATTCGTATAACAACTCCACAAAGGCCTTTAAGAGTTGGAGAAGAAATCCGACTACATTGTGAAACGTCTGGATCCCGTCCTCCAGCTAAACTATCATGGTGGATAGATAAAAAACGTGTACAAACTGGTAAAGATTCTATTCCTAACAGTAGAAATATTACATACAGCACTTTAAGTATTACACCTAAATCCGATGATAATGGAAAAGCTGTTGTGTGCAAAGCTGAAAATAAAGATTTGCCACATCCCGTTCTTCAAGACATATGGTATTTAAATGTTTTATGTAAGTTTTTATTTCAAAAATATAAATCTTTCAATAATATAAAAAGAAAATTATTGCATATCAGTGATTTATTTATTAAGATAGTTTACAAAAATTTAAATTTAACTATTTGTATTTTAAGAAATTCAAAAACAATATTCATTGACTATACTTATTATTTAGAAAGTTCTAAAGCAGTTGTACTTTTTTTAATATTATTTAATTACTAATGCTAATTTATTAATGATCTAAAATTTTTGTGGGAAATTTACCAGTTTAGGATAAACACAAAAATATTTTTTTTTAACTTTAAGTTTCAGAGAATACATTTATTTGTATTTGTATTTGCCTGAACTCAAAAACCGGTATAGCATTTATAATTTAAAAATTTCCAAATCTTTTCATTTCCGCTTACTTTTAAAGTTTTGATTTCTTAAATGCGAAAATTGTCTATTTAAAATCAGTCCAATTTTTTTTAACATTATGGTGATATTTTTTTAATATTTAATTTAAAAAAAATTCAAATAATAATAATTATAGGCGATAAGTTTAATTATTTTTCAATATGAATACAGTTTTTGCAAGATGTGTCTTCATTATTTTTAATGCCAAACTCAGTTACATTTTAAATCTCTAAATTGTTTAATGAATTTTTTTAAATTATAGCTAATGATTTAAGGAAGAGTTGTTTATTGGCTAAAACGCAACTTTGAAAAATAAAGTTTATTAAAAAAGAGTTCTATCTTTTTTTGAGCATTTTTTTCAATTATGCCAAGAAATTATTTATTTTATAATATGGTACTTATTTATTTATTCTTTTGGAATAATAAGCATATAAACATTAATAAAAGTTTATCATTAATTATTGATTCAATGATTAAAAAAGGAATAAAGGGGTATGGAAATTAAAATTAGGCAAAGCTTATTAGCTGCAAATTAGTAGCTGCGAAAAATATTGAGATCAGCTAGTAAGAAAAACTAACTTAAACTCTCTTAATAAGTTTCAGATTCTTCTGAAGTAAAAATATATATATTGAGTTATTATCCAGAAGTCTCTTTAGAAAGCAATCAGATCAGCTGATCATAACAAATAAAAGTAGCTTAAAATATCTTTATAATTTCTAATTTATCCAGTTGTGTCAGTATAAACTATCGAGATCAGCTGATAAGTGAAACTAACGTGAAATCTCTTACTAATTTTCAGTTTCTCCAGAAGTGTCATTACAGCTCGGAGCTAACATAAAATACTCGACCATTAAGGAAGGAAATGATGTCTACATGGAGTGTATTATCCGGGCAAATCCACCAGTTGGAGAACTAACCTGGTTATTCGAAAACAAACCATTCTTTAGTAACGCTTCGGCCGGGATCATCATCTCTAATCAATCTTTAGTTCTGCAAAGGGTGAAAAAAGAGCATCGAGGGAAATATAGATGTATTGCTTCTAATAGTGAAGGCGAAGGGGAAAGCCTGGATTTATTCTTAGAAATAAGGTGTAAGTATGTGTTTCTTATCTGAGAATAACAATAGCTCATTTATCACAATAATGATATAAACAGACAGAGTTTCCCCACGTATATACATTTAATTGTCATTAGGATGTGGTTTCAAAACCCTTGGTTTCTTCTTGAGTCTGATGGTTGTATCTTTATAGTTTCAGACTTATTTAAGAATTATTTTTCAGCAACAATCATACTGGGCGTTTTATAATTTTTGATCTAAATATATATTTTTATAACCTAGAAAGAAGAGCCGGGAAAACTAAATAAATGAGGTTAATAAATTGAATTGTGGTTAGGATAATATAATTGATATTTAAATTTAAAGCATCACTCTCCAGGAATTCCAAATTAAAATATCAAAACCTGTTTGATAGCGTAATAAATACTAAATTGAATTTTAATCCATAAATATATTTTATAAATTGAATTACACTTTTATGATGGAATCACACAGATTTACAGGTTTTGATATATATAAATTAACAACTGATCTTACAGGTGTTATTATACGCATGAAAATATTAATGTGCAAACTTTTTTGACTAGGTTTTTTTAAAAATATAGCTTAATTGTGGAGTTTTCGGAATACAATTTTAAAACTATATAATTTAAAGTATATAAATGATATGATACATCGATAGAAATTTAGATTTCGTTTAATATTGAAAGAGAAAAAAAAACAGGATTTATACCGGATATTTCTTTGTGATCTACGAGTCAAGAATTCTTATTAATCAAAATTATAATAGAATTTTGTTTTCATTTATATTCATTTCAAAACTCTTAGTTTATTTCTGTTATTTGGAATTCTCTCGTGTAATGTAAGCAAAGATTTTTCATGTGCATTCATTTAAAAACAATTTGTTTGCTGTTATTTCTGGGATTTTCAGGTTCTGCAACTTTGAAAGTGTTACAAAATGCTTGGTAACTTTCCCCTAAGACATATATAGTTACAATTCCAGTAAACTTTACATCAAATTTTAAAGGCATTTAAGTCTAATTAGAAGATAAACAAAACGTTCTCAATATCTGGTGAATTATTAATGAGCTGGATGATAGTAAAATCATCAAAGCCCGCCTGACAGCTCATATAAAGTCTCCGTTAAATTAAACACGTCTTAAAGTCCCCTTCGGCTGTTAAACGGCAAATTACGATAAAATTGAACACTTGCATTTCATGAAACAAAACTCATCTACTATATTTCTATCTAATTTCTGCTGTTTGCAAAAGTAGTTTATTTTAAATGGAATTGTTAAGTTTAAAAAGTTAAGAGCTATAATTTGAAAAGTTTAAAAGCTTTAATTTGAGAAGACGTTAGATGAAAAATTTCTTAATGAAATTAACTCTAACGTAATTTGCTCCTTTGAATTTCCTTACCTAAACTAGTTTTAAAGATCAGAATAAAATTTATTGCATTAAATATTAAAATACAATGCTAAAAAAATTATATAAAAATGTAACTTTTTTCTAATAAAAATTGCCCTTTCTTAACTTGTATTCAGACATGATTTTCTAAACAATTGCATTTATATGTTTAATTTGACTCATTTTCTTAATATTAACAATACTATGTACGCAACTAATAATGAACGCGTATCTAACAAATAATTTGTCTTCAGAATTTTATGCATCGTGATATTAGTGCATGAAAATTAAAAGATCATGCAAAGTGAAACATAGTGTTTATTATATATCAAAAAAAATTGGTGGATAATTCCCACCATTTTTATTATTGCGGTTAACTTAATACATTGTTAAATACAGAACTCGTGACCATGCAATAAATTATGTATAATTAACAAAATAAAATTAAAAGATTTAGTGCAAATATTTACCAAAACTGTACTTGTTTTTTGAGCGAAATGTTTTTCAATGAAGCAATTAAATTTACTTCAACGAGCATGAAAATATCAAACAAACAAAGCAATTATAAACGAGTACACAAAAAATGAATAAACAAATTAACAAAACTATAATATAACGATAAAAAAATGTGACTGCATACACTGTCAAGAATTTAGTTTACTTTAACAATAAATATGGTGTCAAATATAAAACAAAATTTTTTCCAGAGTGTATATTTATTGCTTTTATAATTGTTTACTTAAAATGCTACGAAAATCAAATAAATTTGTAATAGCTATTTTTATTCAGAATGATTATCACAAAAGAAGTATGCAATCACAGCATATTCATTCGAAATTTACACAAATCAAAATATTTATTCACTCTTCATTTGCGCAGTGAGACGTTATCACAAATCAAATATGAAACTCTTAAATAAACATTATCATTATACACTCAGTATTAAATGTCAAGGTAAAAAATAACTGCTCAAAATTTGAAGAATAAACTATTAATTTTTTTTCAGTCAGTGTCCATTTAAAACTGTTTTTCTTATTAGAAAATAAATTGTTTTAAAATATTACACGAAATACAAATCTATTTCGATACATATTTTTACACAAAAGTAGATGAATTTTGTAAATATGTATTTCGATACTTCACAAAAATTTCTTTCAGAAATAAATAAAATGGAAAAATATTTCTGAATTTACTAGAAAATCAGAACATACACTCTTCCAGTTTCGTCACGGACATCTTTTACTGAACCGAAAAAAAATATATATTTTACCGTCAAATTTTTTTTTCATCGTTTCAATTCCAGTGGGAAATCAGTGTACTATAACGCACAGTTTCTTTCGAATTTTACAACTCAAAATATTTTGGTTCGAAAAGCATTTTATAATAGACTCTGCCACCCAAACCCTTTATTTTCAAGCAAACATGCCTTTTTCAGACCTATTTTTCTGATTGTACAGTTTTTTTTATCAATCTGATTTGCCTACCAAAGCAAAACATAAATTTCTTGAGAAAGAAATTTGTCATGAGGACTGAGAAAATAGCATAAAAGTATGCCTCAAGGTATGCAGATTTATTTTGTGTCTAATTTAGTCACAGTTGCAAATGATTCGATTTTGCATTTTTCCTACTCGAACTTTTCTTAGTGGGGAGGATTTCGTATGACATGTCATTCGTACTAACAAGTGCTTTGAGACAGTGTCACCAGGTTAAATTTATAAATAAATTTTTTGCTCAATTCTTTTTTGATTTAAAAGTTTTGAGAAATAACAGAGTTTATCTGTTTCACATTCCTGTAAAAAAATAAATTTCATTTTTCATAATTTAATTTATTCCAGTATTGCAAAGTATTAGAGCAGAAATTTCCTTATCTAATGCCTTTTTTTAGAATTTAAAGCTTTTTTTTAAAAAAAAATATTGCTTCTTTTCTTTGTGAAAATCAGAGCATTGGAATTAGAGAATCTTCTTTAAGAGTAAAACTTTTGAAATTTTTCGATAACTTCTTGTGTTTATAATACAATTAAAGAGGAAATAAAGTAAATTATAAAGAGATGAATGAAATATTATTTTTAGATTGTGATATCTGTAATGAAAAAAATTATTAAAACAATGTCTATATGCACCATACCTATATATATACCATAATGCCTATATCGACTACAAAAATTGTGGTGTTATTAGTTATCTTCGGGAAAAACGATTATGATTGTAGAAAATTTAGACTGTGTTGTAAATTAGTAGTAATAAATTATGTATGTCAATGTTTCTAATGATAATTGTTCCTCTATAAAGAATTTTGATGACTATAGTAATGTAAAGTATGAAGGGTGAAAATGAAGCTGGTTTAGCCGAATATATATATACTATATATACATATTACACCGTATTAAATTTATATGGAAAAATGATTAGAATTCGGAATTTCAAGACTAATAATTTTTTGAGAAATACCTGCACGGAAAAAAATATTTTTAGATTACCGTACAGTATTGTAATAAAATTTCTGCTTTCTTTTTTTTTAAAAAAAAAGAAAAAAACACAATCCATGTATTAAAAACAAAAAATTACAGTATTATGGACCAAAATATATAGTATTGAAACCCTTCATTTCGTCGTTTTTACGTTCATATGGCAACAGATTACCGGAAATTTCAGTTTTTAGAATTCCAGTTCGTATTACTCCATATTTAGTAAAAAATATAAAACTATAAAGGAAATTTAACAATGGGTTTTATTTGATGCTTTAAAGCATCATCGTAAAAATACTGTCAGTTATCTCGAAGTATGAAACCATAATTTGTTGCTAATTTTACTAAAATCATTGTCGAAGCTCTTCAGTAAAAATTACCGAGAATCATGAAGCCGGAAACACGGTAAATTCTACCATACTTTGGTAGTTTTGTCCATCCTTTTTTTTTCTCAGTGTAGTATTAATACGGAGAACTTTATCTAAGTGTATATTTCTTAATACTCGAAGAAACTGGTTAAATATTTAATAAACATATTTAAAAAAAAAAGAAATCATATTCCGCAATATTTTTTTCTAAACATATATATAATAGAATGTTTTTGCTTCCTTTAAAAGAAAACTCAAGATAATTATTTTCTTTCACAAGCATACATAAAAACTCCTTTGATCCAATAATTTTTCTTAATGAATATTCTTAAGTCAACATTATAATAGAAGAATGTGAGCAAATTAATTTTCAAAACATTAAGTAAACTAACAAAGATAAAAAGATGAGTTTCTTTCAGCTTTAGAATAAACAAATTTAGGTTGTTGATAATTAAGAAGCACATAATGTTACATCAAATTTGACATTAACCTGATAAAACTTCTTAAAAAATACTTCGATAAGTGAGTAGCACGCGTCATTTTCCACGAGTTAAATGCAGGATAGGATAAAAGTTTATCAAGTCTTGTCAACTGAGTTAATTATTTTATTTTTTTCTGAAACGAGTAAAATTATATCTCTAATAAACTAAGCATTTTTGACGAAAAACTATCTCCCGATAAAATATTTTTAATCTTTAGAAATTTAATCTGGCAAATTAGGAACAATTTTTAGATTAAGTGTAAAAAAAAATAATATTAACTTTAACTTTAGAGACACATAAAATAGGATCATA